TATAGCAAAAAAATGTTGTCTATTCCATTATATGGCGTAGTGGTGCTACATTTGCGGAGATGTGTGCATTAGGGTGGTGGTGGTGGGGGGGGAGGGGGGAGGGGGAGAGTCTTGGAATTGGCGGATGAGGTTGTTTGCGTGGGAGGAGGTGTTGGTTGGGGAGTGTATTCGGTTGTTGGATTCTTTTGCTTTGCAGAACTCAGTTGATGATTCTTGGGTGTGGCGGCTTCATTATTCAAAACAGTATAATGTGAGCAGTGCGTATCAGTTTTTGATGAAGTCGGTGGAGCCTCAACAATTCAAAGAATCTCACGTTTGGTGGTCTAAGGTGGTCTCATTAAAGGTTAATCTTTTTGTTTGGATATTATATCATAATAGATTACCGACAAAGGATAATTTGGTTAGGCGTAATATTATTAGTGCTCTGGAGAAGAATTGTGTAACAGCGTGTGGTCAGTATGAGGACAGTGACCATATTTTTGTTCGTTGTGATTTTTTGGTAAAATTTGACAGGCGATGTTGGGTTGGTTAGGGTTTTCGTCGGTGTCTCATGGACATCTTCGGGAGCATCATGATAATTTTGTGGCTTTGGGAGGGTGGTCAAATCATGTCGTAATGCCGTTAACATCATTTGGGTAGCTATGGAGCATCTGAAAAGTGCAAAATCATCGAATCTTTCAGAACTTTAGTCAAAATTTGATTTCAATTTATGAAAAGGTTAAATTTCTATCTTTTTAGTGACTTTTGATTATTATGTTTGGAGGTTGAATCCTTTGCAGTGTTTGCTACAGTATGTCAAATAATAGAGGGTTTATTTTTGGTGGTTTTGCGGTGTGGTTTTATTGATGTTACAATATTTTTGTAGTTATTCTAGAATTTCTTGTGCTGGAAGGATTTTTTAATAGTTATTTTTAAATCAAAAAATAATATGCATCCTCTAGTCTTTAATATAAAGAAAAACTATTTTTAAAAGAGATAATAAGTGATGTGCTGACCGTTTAATATAGTTTTACACTGTCAATCAATCACAACCAATCACAACTATGTATTCAATTATCTTCCATTTTTATTTTAAAACTTTTTTAATAATATATCAAATTGTTTACTTTCTATTGGTTGATTGTGTAAAAAAAATTTACACTGAAAGTGTATAAAAATTATTCTCTTTTTAAAATGTATTCAATAATTAATATATTTAATCTATTATTTAATAAATTTAAAATATGAATTTTTTTATATTAACAACCTAAGTGGTATTAATAAAAATATAAATAAGTTATAAAATATATGTATTACATATGTTTATGTTTTTGGAACAGTTGGTTTGTGACAGAACAGTAGCCAATAATTAATGGCTCTCAACTTTGAAACTTTTGAGGTTGTTTTTTTACTGCTCTGATCTTATACTGAGTGAGTCACTGTCATAATCATCACTACTTCCAAGGAACTAAGATCATACATTACACACAAAGGTAGGAAAATGAAGATGGAAATCAAAGAAGATGTTGAGGGTGGTAAGCAGAGAGGAGTAAGAGAAGCATTGTTAGGGGAAAACAACAAACAACTTGTCAATGAAACCAAACATCACCATCATCCATGGATGGTTTACTTCACCACATTCATTGCTGTTTGTGGTTCTTATGAATTTGGTGCTTGTGTAAGTCTTTACTTCACCACTTCTATGTTTACTTATTGAAAATCAGCAAAAATAATTTATATTTTTGTTTTCCAGATTGGATATTCATCTCCAACTCAAGAAGCTATCAGGAAGGATCTAAGTCTGTCTTTGGCAGAGGTTAGCAAGAAATGCTTGAAAGCTTGATTTAAAATGTTTGTATTAATTCCTACATAGTGGATTTAATGTAGTTTTCTTTGGTTTTTGGTGATTGAATGAATGCAGTACTCCTTGTTTGGCTCCATCTTGACTTTTGGTGCAATGATTGGTGCGATAACAAGTGGTCCTATTGCTGACTTCGTTGGTCGAAAGGGGGTAATTGCAGCAAAATTAGGAATTAATTGTATCATCTTTATTTTTGGAGTATTTATAAGAAGTTAGTTATGGAATATAAATGCAGGCAATGAGAGTATCGAGTGCTTTCTGTATTGCAGGATGGCTTGTTATTTATTTTTCAAAGGTTCTTCTTACTATAAAACCTATTTGATTTTTTTTGGTCATAACTGTCCTCCAATGATTAACTGTTGTTTATTTCATATGTATATATTAAGGGTCCAGTTCCTTTGAATATTGGGAGACTAGCAACAGGATATGGAATGGGAGTCTTTTCATTCGTGGTTCCTGTCTTCGTAGCAGAAATTGCGCCAAAAGAACTCCGAGGAGCCCTCACTACCATAAATCAGGTATATATTTGCTACACATTGTAACTCTATGATCATGAAGATATCAATGCCATGTAAGTTTGTTTTTCTTCTTCTTTTGTAGCTTATGATTATTACTGCTGTATCGGTTTCATTCATAATCGGAACAGTACTTTCCTGGAGAGCTTTAGCAATAATTGGTCAGTTTTCTTCCCAATTTGAATATTATAAATTAATCGAAGCTTTTCAGTACTAGATACGTGTTTGCAATTGCAGGCCTGATTCCTACTGCTATGTTGCTTTTCGGTCTGTTCTTCATTCCAGAGTCTCCTAGATGGCTTGTAAGATATAAATTTCCATCCTTATTTTTTTAAAAGAAAATATGAAGTGGTTAACTCAACATCATTAGTACTAACTGTAGGCAAAGAAAGGGTGCGCAAAAGATTTTGTGGCAGCATTGCAAATACTTCGCGGTAAAGATGCTGATATATCTCAAGAAGCAGCAGAAATTCAGGTTACTATATGTTTTTGACTTTGCTATCATGCATAATAATGAACACAAAGCATTCGGAATATAATGAAGTTAGACTTGTGTATCTGTCACTGCCACTCAGGATTATATAACTAGTTTAGAACTTCTCGCAAAACCGAAGATGTTGGATTTGTTTCAAAGAAGATATTTGCGCTCGCTTACGGTATCTATCTATAATTCCACTTTTGATATCATTTCTTTTTCTGATTTTTGTTCAATCCAAGCAAGTATACGGAAAGCACTACATATAACTGATTTTCATATGGCAGATTGGAATAGGGCTTATGATTTGCCAGCAATTTGGGGGAATCAATGGAGTTTCCTTTTATACTAGCAGTATTTTTGATCTAGCAGGTACTTATATAGCCTATAGTTCACATTGAACTCATGTTTTAAAACTTGAATATTTATTTTGGTTTGGTGTATTTTGTCATAGGATTTCCGTCTTCGACCGGGACTATAATTTATGCTATTCTTCAGGTTCTTTCTTTAAACTTAACTAGAAGTCCTAAGAAAGTTTAATTTTTGTTTCTGTCAAACTAATGGGGTCATGTTATTTAATTTCGCAGATTATAATAACAGGTATTGGAGCAGCCCTCATAGATAAAGCTGGAAGGAAGCCCCTACTTTTGGTAAGTTGAAAGCACAAAACAACATTACTTCAAATTTTCATTAGCTTATCCTTTTCATGTATGTATAATTTCTTGGTTTCAATAGGTGTCTGGATCGGGATTGGTTGCAGGATGTATATTTACAGCAGTTGCATTCTATCTTAAGGTATATTTCCACTAAGAACATTATGGCGTCGAGTTTTTAATCCTAATATTTATGTAAAAGTGATATTCTTGTGAGTAACAGGTTCATAATGTGGGCTTAGGGGCAGTCCCAACACTTGCTGTAATCGGCATACTCGTATGGCTACTAGTCTTTATCTGTTGATGCTTTCATGTTTTACACATCTCGGAAATGTGAAGTCATTTACTCTTATTGTCAGAATCGCGATCAGAATCGTGAAATCCATGGATTTTGCGATTTTGATCACCCTAAACGATCTGAATCGTGAGTAGAATCCTAATTCAAAGCAAAATCCCAATAAAATCGCACAAAATCGCTAAATCGCAGCAAAATCTGCGATCTCATATGGATTCCACCGATTTTGTTTGTTATGTTTGTTTTATGATTTTAAAATTTTGAGTACTTTTATATTTAAGATATGAGTTGAATTCATCGATTTTGGTTGCGATTTTCGATTATGCGATCTTGATTTCTCCTTTTGATTCAACAAAAAGATTCAAGTAGAATCCACCGATTTTGGTTGCGATTTATGATTTTTCGATCTTACTATCCTCTTTCGATTCAAAGTAAACTCTCGATTCTGACAACCTTGAATATTAGGTCTACATAGGATCGTTTTCAATAGGAATGGGAGCAGTTCCATGGGTCATGATGTCTGAGGTACACCCCGATCCATTCAAATTCGTCAGTTATAAAACATGTCTGCTAAATCATAATCAGTATGATTTTACTTGACAAAAAAACAGCAAAATTTTTGATGAAATATTACCTTATATTACAGATATTTCCAGTGAATATTAAAGGACAGGCGGGAAGCATAGCCACATTAGTGAACTGGTTTGCTGCGTGGCTATGTTCCTATACTTTCAACTTTTTCATGAGTTGGAGCTCCTATGGTAAATACATTATTTCATTTGATTTTCAGGCCGCCATGATTATAGAACATGCATGTTTATTTTGTAATTATGATTTTCAGGTACCTTCATTCTTTATGCTGCAATCAATGCACTAGCTATATTGTTTATAGTTGTAGTCGTTCCAGAAACCAAAGGTAAAAGCCTTGAACAATTACAGGCCGCCATTAACGCATAACAAGTTTGCGATTTTCTGTGTTTCGTGGAACAATAGGGATGCAAATTGAAGATTGAATCATGAGACAATATTTTTTGTTTGTTTGCTTCTATATTTGATGATGGAATTCACTATTGTGTATGAAAATAAAATACAACTTTTAAACACTTTAACCCATTCTACTAAATATTTAGATTCCTCTTGAACTTCTTTCGACATCGGTTTCTGATCCAAGAAACTTGCAAAGTAATCTCCTCCTAGAATCGGTGCATTTCCTGCGTAAAACTTAAATTTTTGGCAGTACTGCATCAAGTGTGTTGATTACACCTTCTCTCATTTCCAAATCAGAAATTTCATAACTTGGATAACCACAATCAAGATCATCACACAGCTGCTCCCACTTGGACTCCAAAAAACCAAATGCTTTAATCAAACCTATGGCATAAGGAGTACTAATTCCATCTATAACATCAAAATTTCTAAGGCCGCATAAATGATGACAATACATTTGATGATCAACATTAGATCCAAGCATAACTTGTAGGGGACTAGAGAACCTGGAATGTTGTGTAGAAGATACTTTACCACTTTGCAAAGGGTATGAAGAAGCTGCCATAACCTTTAAGCCACTTTTAGTTGTAGTAGTAATTTTGTCAGCATATAGAAACAGCAATACTCTCTGTGAGCAAGAAATGACGCTTCTTTTGAAAGTGTTAATCAAAGTAAGGGATAAGTTTTGGTTTCATGGAGGTAGTTCCCGAGCTGAGAAAGAAAAAGTCAGTCATCATGCAGTGAGTAATTAAATGAAATGAAGAGTTAAAAAGGAAGATATATACCTGTAGAAGAAACATAGGAGAGGATCAACAGAGAGAAGAGGGTGATGATTAGGATGATGATCAACCATTTGTTGAATAAAGTCAACATAATCTTCATAGGATAACAATGAAACAAGATGTGAGAAATGTTGGAGTAAATCCTAATAGTCAATTAATATTGGTTTAATATGTTTTTGTATCATGGTCTTGATATATATATTATTTGTTAGTATCCGTAGTCAAACTTTACTGTCGAATAGGACAACAATAATGCATAGAGACTATTATGTGAGTAGACGGATGACGTGTCTCACAAGTCATGGATATGAGATACTAAATCTCCACATAGATATAAATATTATGAGTAATATTTATACTGGATTGACCCACCATGAGAATACTACATAGTTTGTTATGTAAGTGTCATAAGTTATTTTCATAGTGATAGTGGTGTATACCACCCTTGGACCTTAAACCACTATGGACCCTAGATGTGGAGTCGATTACTTTCTTGTCAGTCAAACGTTGTCCGTAACATGATGACCATAAAGATGATTGATGGGTACTTTACAAATCATGTTGAGGGACATGAGTGACTTAAATGGGATTTTCCCCTCCTACATATACAGGAGTAATATCTATGGCTCCCCTTGATACAGTATGGTAAGATGCATGGTCGTGCTCAAATAAGTCAATGTGAGATATTGGACTTATTTGTTGTTATCATGTATACTCGGAGATCAAGAAATATAATATTGAACTATACAAGGGTGACACATTACATGTCTTGTGTTCAATATAGATATAAGGGCAACATGATAATTATACACGTGGTCATTATCACATAAATGTTTTGTCAGATCACACGACATTTTCGTCACTTGAGTAGCAATGATATGTTGCTAGACACCACTCACTGTTTATAATATTAAATGTGTTTTAATATTATTGTCAACGTTACGAGAACCTGCAGGGTCACACACATAGAGTACTTATATTGGAATGAATGATTAAATTAAATATGATTTAATTTAATTATGTGTTAATAGTATTTAAATTATTTGATGTATCAACACATATAATTTATTTGATTAAATATGATTTAATTAAATAAATGAGAATCGACAATTGATTAAACTAAATATGATTTAATTTAATATTTTATTTAATTTTATTTAAAGAGTTTGATTAAATATAAATAATAATTATTTAATTAAATAGTTTAATTAAATAAGATTGGGCTTATTTTGGAAAAACCCAAAATAAGAGCATTAGGGCTTTAGAAGCTCTCTATAAATAGAAGAGCTCTTTCCCCTACCAATGCTAATGGTCAATTCTCAAGAGAACAAAAAACGGCTAGCACCGCCTTTTACTTTGCACTCGCGTGGACTACGTAGAGACGCCGATATCTTTCGTCGTTCCTGATTAAAGATAAAACACGCTTCAAGAGGTAATTCTTGAAATTTTATTTTGATTTGTGATTAATGATTTAATCAAAAATCTATTTATTGGAATTATTCCGCTAAGAGAATCAAAAAATTTAAAAAATTTCTCTTAAAATTCCAAGAGTGATATCAGAGCAAAGTTGTGATTGAATCATTAATTCAAATATAATTTTTATATGATAATAATTATATATTGATCTAATTGGATTGAGTTGTCACTGTGTATTCAAGAGTGTGTTTAATCATTTTGAATTTGATTCAATTCTTGATTAAAATATGTGATACGTTTTTTGTTTGGCTTACCACGGATTGTTTCTATAGCGCTTGTTACACATTATTTTTAGAGTTAAATAAATTTGTAGTCCCTCTAGATATAGTGGTTTTCAACTTTAGTCTCTCTAAACATTTCCTTCAAATAATGGTCCTTCTAAAAATTTTAATTTTAACTTTTGGTACCTCTTGCAATTTAGCGACGGATTTTTACAATTTAGCGGATGGTTTTAGCGACAATTTTTTTATTTAGCGACGGAATTAGAGACCATTTTAGCTACAATTTTACCATGAGGGACCAAAAGTTAAAATAATAAAGTGTTTATTATTTAATATTAAATATTAACATCATGTAATTGTATAATTTGGATGTTCATTGTTAACTATGCTTCAGAATCCGACATTTGTATGATGAAACAATGATACTTTGATCATCCATAAGTGATACAAATATAATTGATAAATTTATATATGATATAAATATTTTTAATGCAAAGTTAGTGTATGTGATGCACTAATTTGTTTCGCACATTCAAATAGTGTAATGATTGTTATACGTTTGAATGATCAATGTTCATTCTGATTCGGAATCCGACATTTGTATGGTGAAGCAATGAAATTCAATCAGTCATTTTGAATAATTAATCATTATATTTTGATGGTATGAACGCGTTTGCATTACGGTTTTTGACGGCGCAAGAGTTATGCCTTTAGGGTTCGTAAAAGGCGTCAAATGTTGATGCGTCAATATTTATTAATTAGTGATATATTATTATTTATTGTTTAATTGTTTATTATTAAATAAATTGGTATACGGTTATGACCTTAGATTTTGGCATTTGTTTATTTTAAATACGGCCTGTGTGTGGTGATTTATTTTTCTTAAATACGTCACGCGTTTCGTGGTTTATTGTAATTAAATACGACCTGCGTGTCGTGCCATTTAATTATTATTTTATTTTTAAAATATTATAAATATGCAAGTTCAAGAGTTGAAGAGAAGACAATACCAAACGATGACGCCGATGGAGAGGGTTGAGAAACTTGCTCGTGGATCAAAGAATTATAATAAAGTAGTTTATTTAATTATTGCGTTTTAGGTGGTCATAATCGTATTGCCAAATTAAATTTATGTATGTGATGCGTGAAATGTATGTTTATATGCGCGTGTACAAGATACACAAACATATGAGTGTATGACATACACAATTCAGGGAGATCAACCTTAAGACAAATCCTTCAATTAAATATTAAGTTTATTGCTTTGCAAAATTTAGCACTCATCAAGACTAGTATCGAATAATGTAGGTTTCGCCCACGCGAGGTGCATGTTTTATATTAGTAAGGTGCGATGGGATAAATGTAATATCCAACTGCTAAACTTTTGGATTTGACTTAACTAAACTAATTATAATACGATTATATATTTTAAGAAGCAAGAGTTGAGAAAAATCCATATGATGGATTAGAATAAGGAGTTATTCACTCAACTGGCAAAATTTGAGAGTTGTATTAGATATAATTGGATAGAGTTTCTACCTAAATAGCGGAGTTTTGTGTAATCCGCCTACGGGGACTTAAAACAAAGTGAAATATGGATCTCGATGAAACAACCGGCTGAACAAATCTTAGAGATGAAATCAATAAAGTCGCCATCGAACGTTTTTTTATCCCACAAGATGGGAAAAGTAAACATCGACTAAACCTGAGAAGGGTGAAATCACAGTCAAACGACCGAGAGATTAGGTAAGGGAGTCTGTTACGCGAGGGGAATGTATTAGCATCCCACACACCTGTAGTTTTCTATGGTGTCCACTCTTGTTATTCTAATCAAAGGGTGTGTTCAAATTTAAGCTTACGAGCTAAAAGAAAAATGTAAAGAGGGAATGCATGCAAAAGAAAATACGGGAAAGGAAGAAAGTATTTACAAAGTTTCTCTCGGCTAAGCCCTGCGACCAAATGCCCACGTATCCTTTTTAAGGAATTAGAGTGTCGTAGTTAGGCTCACATGTTTCTGTTTATTTTGTGTTTTTTAAAGAACAATATTAATTTCGTCTTCTGTCGCAACTACATCTTTGGAGATTCACACGTCAGCACAGAAGTGAATTAACATGTTCTTTTTGAAAAAGATTAGTTTTGATGCAAAGCCCGGAGGCGGAAAAAAGATTTGAGTTGTTGGTGATTTTTACCTTGAAAGAGGATTTGAGAATTGTTAGATGTTTTATGCGTTTGCCAAGAAAAAGGTTTTAATCTTAAGGATGCAAAAAGAAATAAAAGCAACTTAAGGAGAATAACGTATCTCTAACCCCTAATGTTATTATACAATGATTGATCCTAAGTTCGAGAATGAAAAAGGGAAATCTCTACCTACATTAGCATGCATGGATACCTATCCTAATGTCTATCTCAAAAGCTATCCTAAGGGAGCATACAAAGGTTCAAAACCTAAGGAAACCTGGCATACACAAGGATAAAAAGCAAACAAGAAATCAATAAGCTCAAGAGAGCACACACGTGTCATGAGAAGGCACGCTAGCTCAAGTCACAAAGGCCTAACCAAGATATTGTGCATCGAGGTAGGAAATAGGAAGCTTTAGCCAATGGGTCATATCAACTGAGAAAAACAAGCTATTTGTGGGAATAAAATCCATACTGTGGCATCGTATTGCCAGGAAAGAAGAGTAAGGGATAAACGTGAAGCGTCAACGTCGACAACCGTGAACTCAAGACAAAGTATGGGGAATCTATTGCAAATCCTTTTTCCATCTGACTGACTCGATAACAAGAGCAACAAACTCCAAAGTATCATGGTGCATCACGAGCTAAGGATGATAAGAACAAAATGTGGGGGTTGATTGCGAACCCTTTCCGCTCGCCTCCTTTTGAGGACTTATTAATGGGAGATTGGGAATTGGAGCCTTCTTTTAGGTCTTTGGGCACAAATGTAAACACGACTGTAGAATGTCTGCTTCAAAGGTAGGACTTTAAACAAGCCACAAACATAGTTAGCACACAAATGAGGAACTGCCTTAAACAAGTCTTTAAATAAACCAGAGGGGATTCCTAACATGAACAATAACGGAAGT